AAAAACTGTAAAGCTGTGATGTTTTGTTGAAAATTTAACCACAATTTGTCATTGTTGTCCTGGATAGTTAACCATGCGGGGTTAAAAATCTGAACGAAATCTTACTTTATCTTTATTTAAACAAAAGAACCTTCCTGAACCCTTTCACTATCGCAACCTCAAAAATGAAAAGTACTGACGGTGTCACATTTAAAAACAAATTTCTCTTTTCAAAATGTAGTGATTTTTTTTTTTTTCGCGACAATCGGCATGTGCAGAGAGAGATGAGGATGATGATTTTTTGATGCATGGGTACTAAAACTTACTTAGGAGACATTAACGCAGGCGCAAGCTGGTGATCTGGGTGCAATTTATGCAAAACCCAGTTTTATCCTATTTGGTGAGTCCTATTTTAAGCCAATTCAATGCATTGATTCCACCCAGTTCTAGCTAATTTGCTAGTATGCCTTCCATTTATCAAACTACCGTTCAGATACCGTGTGTACCTCGAGTTACGAATTTAATTCGTTCCAGAAGCGGGTTCAAGTGCCAATACGAATGATTTTCTTCCATAAGGAATTTGTAAATTAATTAGTCCGTTTTCAGACCCCCAAAAATACACTTACATAATTGTATCGAGGGTGGGAGCTGTTTGAAACTCCATGTCAACTGTATCAGATTACCTTTTACTGAGCACAGAATAGAATTCAGTAATTTAGCCGTTTTCAATAAGAAAAAATATTAACAAATTTTTTTAAAAATACAAAATTAAAAAAATTCCAGTTTAAAAGAATAAAACTATAGGAATACCCAGCCACTTAATCAACACTTTTCTGTATTCATTAATTCACTTTCTATACAGTGGAACCTCGGCTTACAAACGCCCCACCATGTAAAACTTTTCAGGATATGAACAGCCATTCGAGTTGATTTTTTTTTGCTTTGGATATGGACGAAATTTCAGGATGCGAACTTCCCCTCAAGGGAGGCTCCCTTAAATAAATAAATAAATAAAAATATTTATTGCTTTCGCCATAGGTTATGCGTGTGTTTACTCAAGAGCAAAGAAAGCCACTATCATGCCGAGGCATTTCGTGCAGACTTAACTAAATACAGTGGTATAAGATAAGATTTTCATTCATGATTTTTAACCACGGAAGGGTTAGCCATTTCCAGGATAACAGAAAGTCAGTTGCATCATCGAGGACTGTAACTTATTTCCATTGGGGAACTCATCTTGTCCCCCAGGATGTGACCAACCACCAGTTGACTAAACACCCAGGATACCTTTTTTGTGACTAGGTAAACAGGAGGTGTAGGAAATGTGTCGGAATGTTTCCACCTGCCGGGAATTGAACTGGGCCCTTCCGTGTGTTGAAGCGCGGAGCTTTAAGCCACAGGCCACCGGGCTACAAGCCACCGGGGCCACCAGCCACCAGGCCACCACGGTTACCTTGGGATATGAACTCTAAATTCGTTCCAGAAGGCAGTTCGAGTGCCGAACTGAATGAATTTGGTTCTAAAAAGAGTTGAAGAGGGAAATACTATAGTATTCATTGATAGCTTAACCTAAATTTGACCATTACAGTAATTACACATTCCTAAATGTGTACCACAACTATAAATCTATAAAAGCTCTGTTTGCTGGTGTTGACAAAAAATATAATGTAGAGTAAGAATGGGTAAAATACAAGAAAATGCTGTGAAACAAACTACTAATTTGGATAGTTTTAAAAATATATTAAACAGGTACTTGAGTGGGAGTGGCTAAATGTGAGTAAAACCTACCTAGCATGGGTCAGTATGTCTAGTGCAATGTTCATCCAGTCTTGTTGCAGGATTAACTAGAAAACTACATCATACATTAAGGTGTCCCGTAGCTCGATCACTAGCGCACTCAGCTCACACACTGAGGTCCGGATTTCGAATCCCCGATACGGCTGGAAAACGTTAGGACATGTTTCCATAAGACACCTGTTGTCCATGTTTACCCATTAGTATAAAATTAGTACCTGGGTGTTAGTCGACTGGTGTGGGTTGCATCCTGGGATAAAACTGGCCTCATTTGCCCAAAGTGATCTGCATAACAAGGGGCTTTCTATATAGTAGTACAGTGGTACCCTGAGTTTCGTACAGCTCCCAACTCAAACAATTATGTAAGTGTGTTATTGTAAGTGCTTTTGTAAGTGTATTTTTGGGAGTCTGAAACAGACTAATCTAATTTGCATTATTCCTTACCGGAACAAATTTGTTCAGTAACGGCACTTGAACAGCCTTCTGGAACGAATCATGACCGAAACTCTGGGTACCACTGTATGTCACTGATGTCAGCTAGGCCTGTATGTCTTGTAGAAATAAATACAGTATTATTATTATTATTAAGCTGTAATCACACACTCCCATGAAGTCCAAGATGGTTAAAATTCAAAGCGTTTCTCAGGGACTCAAAAACAGGTCTGTCAAGTGGTAGTCTGACAAGTTACACATCACACTATCCTGCCCTAAAAGACTGCTTTTAACCCGTAAACGGTCCAAACGTATATATACGTTTTTTGAACATTTGAAAGTACGTAAAAAAAGTAGATCTTCTTTTTGTTTTTTTACATTTGAAGATGTGTAAAAAACTTTGATCTACTTTTTTTTTGTACATTTGAAAAAACAGGTCCCAAAAAAGTAAATTACTTTTGTAGCACTACACATGTGAACGTAGAGCTGCTTGTGACCGTTTACGGGTTACAACTCTGATGTTTACTGTAGCTATGGAATTTGTATGGACCAAAACTACATTTTTTACAGCCAACAATCAACAGCATTCAAACCCTGGTGACAGTGACTGGCTCTGTTCCCACAAGTTTATAGATGACAACAGGGAACAAGAGCTAGTCACTACCACTAAATTTCTTAGCAATAACAGAGAGAAAATGAAGCCACATTTGTATACTAAGAAAAACACTGCTTAGGGCCCCCCACCCCATCAATATTTCACAGTGGTTTAGAACAATAGGATAGGCAGTGAAAGAGGAGAAAGTAACTGTCCAAACTTTAAAATTTTAAAAATATTGTGGTATACGAGAGATTAAAAACTAAAGATAAGATACCAAGAGCATAGGTCTGCTTCTGGAGTATAAAATAAGAAACACAAAGAAAGGATACAAGAACACAATTAGAGTGTGTTCCTAGTAGCGGCGTTCAACTAAAACACCTCCAAACAAACACTCCAGTGGCAAACCTGGGAGATGACAATAATTTTTGCCTATGGTAATGAATATTTTCAGATTTGAAGGGCAGTTCGTCAGTCTACTGGGCCCACGTAGGCAATTGTTATCCACTTTGCTGATGAGAACACAAATAGTAGAAAACAAATACAAAAAAATCTAGTTGTAGCAAACAAAAAAAAAAACTTGGTACCCCAAGGTACAATGCTGATGCCTTTACTGCTTTTCATTGTAGATATAGGTAGATAAAAACACTAGACACAGTTTCATATCATTTGTGGATGGCTGAAAGTAAGCTGACACAAATCACCTCAGATGACAGGGCAAAAAACTGACAAAAGTATATAAGCAGAGTATGCCAGTGGGAATGTGAAAATAACATGATGTTCAATGGTAACAAATTCCAACTGACCAGATATAGAAAAAATGAGGAGCTCAAAAGGGACACCATATACAAAACAAAGAAAACCATATAGAACTAAGGAACAACTAAGACCTGGTTGACAAAAGTCAGATGATGTATCATTTACAGATCTACAATAAGGCAAAATCCTGTGAAGTCGAAAAATGGGACGGGGAGCGTTTATTTCAACAAGATAAATATTGCTAGTGTTACTATTAAACACTTGTGCCTCTCTTGTCTAGAATATATTCATGCTGACAGTTTCCTTAGGTCATGAGAAGGGGCAATGACCCCTGGGAAAAACCTCTCCTTGTATACTCAGGTATCAATGTGAACCATGTACAGAGAAACATTATTTCTGCACAGAGCCAATAAAGCACTAAACTAAGAGAGAAATGTAGTAGGGCCCCACTTTACAGTTTCACTAATGCAGCAGTTTTCAATTATGCTCATGCTTAATTATTCAGACTTCTACAATAATATATTTCACACCCACTATAAGCTAAGGACAAAAATATTAAAGGGTAAGGTCTGCAGGTACCGTATATTGCATTTTTAAGGCCTAGTCTATTGTTCACTTACTCTAAGCCCCAGATTGGTAAACTTTTATCAGGCTTTTACATTCATTTGAAAATGGAAAAAAGGCTATGGTTCACTTTACAGCAATTTTCAATTTACAGTAGCCCAGAACCTAACCTGCTGTATAAGCAGGGCCTGCCTGTACATTGAATATATTGGGGAGCCTAATCCTTCCACAACAATGTCCTGGAATGAGAAATATGAAAGAAAGTGTAAAATAAATGCAATGAAAAGCAGGAAGGTAATGGGTACAGTACAAGAACACTATCAACTCCCTTGGACCTAGATTATTCAACATAATGCCAACAGATGTCAGAAATGCTGCAGGAACAAGTGTACAGGACTTCAAGAGGAATCTGGATCACTACTTCTGACAAATAAAAGATCAACCAGGCTGTGGTGGATATGCAGGCTAGTGGGTCACCACCAGCAACAACTTGATTGATATGACAAGCAGCAGAAAAGCCTAGCCTAGACCCAGGCTGGGCTGCAGGAGCATGAAGATTCTCTCAAAATGGGTCACAATATATTTGGGATTTTATATACCAGGTACTGTACTCATCGGTGGTTAGTAATACCATTAATTGATTTTTATAATTAATAAAAACCTTGAGGGCCTAATAATTCCAGGAAAATGGTAAACCATAGCTATCATGAAAAATTAAAATAAACTGTAATGCTGATCAATGAAAAATATGAGAATTTTACCTGAACCCTTTTATTTTAATGTCATTTTTTAAGGCTTACTTATTTGTTAAGGTTTTAAGGCTGCCATCAGTTGGCTCCCCCCCATAGCTCAGTGCTTAATAGAAGCATGGTTGGCATCAGAGATGGGATGAGTTGTCAAGGATGGTCAGAAAAGACTGATTTCTGGTGTAGCTTGACCGAGACGACCAACACTTGAGGGTTATGGAGTGGTGGACTGTGACAGGAGACCAGGGCTGCATGGCTTGTGGGTTACCATAATCCTCCACATCTGTTTGCTCAACCACCAAAAACTGAAACCAAAATTCACATGAAATGTCTGTTTGCTCAATCACCAAAAAAACTGAAATCAATCATTCACATATAATGTGTGTGGATGGAGCTTCAGTGGTTCTATGACTTGAGATTCTATTATGTTACTGGTTCAACTTAGGTCTGGAACCATTCTTCACAACCCTGTTCAAATTCTGTGAGACTTGTACTGTAATCTAATTTAAATTGTTTTATTATCTTTCCTAGCTTTAGACTTTTCATTAATTAATAATACAGTACAAACCTTTACCTTTCTAAGAAAATATTAAGAAAAAAATATAAATAAATTGTAAAACAAAAAAAAAATTTATTATTAGGTAAGACAAAATGATGTAACAAGCTCAGGTGATAAGAAAACATAAGAAGAACATAGAACGAGGAAACACTGCAGAAGGCATACTGTCCATGCGAGGCAGGTCCAAGTCTCTACCGGCTTAAGCCAATGCACCCAAACCTAGTCAGGTCAGGTCACATGACTTAAGGGAGGAACCGGCAACGACCTGGTAGCACTAAGCTATACAGGTCTAACTCACAACCCACCCATCCACTACATGTATTTATCCAACCTATTTTAAGCTACACAACGTTCTGGCCTCTTTCAACGGTACTTGGGAGTTAGTTCACTCATCCACAACTTATTATATCCAAACCAGTACTTTCCTATATTCCTTCCTGAATCTGAATTTTTCCATCATAAAACATGCTGCCGAGGTCCTATATAGGCTAGATATTTCAGCACCACTATTTACATCCCCTTTCATTTATTCCTGTCTTCCATTTATTACACCTCAATCATATCCCCCCGAACTTCTAGTCTTTCTAGAGAGTGCAGATTTCAGGGGCCCTTTGTCTATCTCATAGGAAAGGTTTCTGATCACATGGGATAACTTTGTCATCCTCCTTTGTACTTTTTCAGAGAATTTATATCCATTCTGTAATAAGGTGACCAAAACTGTGCAGCATAACTAAATGGGCCTAAACACAAGGATGTATAGAGTTGAGAAACAATCAGGACTCCTTTATTTTTGCTTTTGATATGAAGCAAGGATTCTATTAGGCTTTATTGCGAACACTTCGAATAGAATGCCTTAACCACTGACCCAGATTTAGTCTTGACGTTAAAGATATACTGCATCAACGCTCCACCAACCTAACATACCATTTCCCCAAATAAAGCTAAGTCACACTCCCTCCCTATATAACCTACCTCCACCCCCAATACATTCAAACCCCACATAAAAACAATAAAATACATATAAAATTCCTACCACCATTAGTCACACATAATAGATCTGTGTTCGCTCCATTCTCGCTTACGTAATATTAAGTTTACATTGCATTCTTAGTTTGATAGTGAGAGTGGGCATAATGGTTTATCTTAGCTACTGACCCAGCTCCCCCATAATATGTTTAGACAATATAGAGCCATCTTGTCTACGTCTCTTTAAACACTGCATCTGCCACTTCTCCCCCCCACCCCCCCCCCCACCCCCCACCGACCCTACACCGTGCCATATCAGTCTATTCCTCCTAACTTATTCCCCTGGATACGCTGCGCCCCTACGAATGTTCCCTCGTAAGATATGGACTCGCACGGCCCCACTATTCCCTTCGGTGCCTCATCGGCAAACTTGCCGATGTCGCTTTTTTGCCCTCATCTATGTCGTTATTTAGATTGTGAACTGCAGGGGCGCCACACACTCGCCCTGCGGATCACAAAGCTCAGTGACACTCCCCCACTCTGATTTTCTCCCATTTATGCAAACTCTCGCTGCCCTATTTGTCAACCATTGCCTCTAGCCAGGGAAAATATTTCTCCTCCTATTCCATGTGCTTTAATTTTCCTCAATAGTCTTGATGTGGGAGCCTGTCCAAAGCTTACTGAAGTCCATATACATCAATATATATTCATTACAATGATCTACACGCCTCAAATACCTTTAGTTGAAAAATGTTAATAAATTCGTAGGGCAGGGAATACAGGTCCCACCTTTGTAAAACACTTGCTTGGATTCGTTGATAATTTATGCTTTTCTATGGTGGCTACGAAAACTGCTCGGCAATTATTGTTCCTTAAATTTTCCCACTTGGAAGTTAGGGGGGATTAAATTGGTATATAGTTCGAAGCTATGGACCTGTCACCTGTTTTGAAATTAGGTACTCACATATGTCATTTCCATTATTCTGGACCATGGCCAGTTTCGTAGTGTTATGATTGAAAAAGATTAGCACAAAGGTGTGCTAAGCTCCTCTTTACATTCCTTTAGAACCCTTGCATACAAGTTTCATCAGGGCCTTGGGGATTTGTCTCGGTTTTAATTTATCTATTTGCCTAAGGACCATGTCACTGTGACCCTAATAGTTGCACACAGTTTATTCATCGTCATGTTCTACATAATTTATCATTACTGGAATATCGCTGGTATATCTGTGTAAAAACTGAGAGGAAGTATTGTTAAAAATTATACACATTTCCTTATCCCTGTCAGTGAGCTGACACGTGGAACTTTTTGAGGTGGGCCTATCTGGTCCCTGATAACTTACTTCATGTAAACCTGAAAGAATCATTTGGGTTATTAGTCTTCGATTCCTTGCACTTTAACCCATAATCTCTTTTTGCTTTTAGATTCCCTTTTTTTTTCTCTCTTTACTGAATATATCGATTTCTTAATTGTCCTCCCTCTTCTTTGTTTTGCCTATATATGCCTCTCTCTTTTTTGACCACTCAGATATTTTAATTATTGTCATTCATTTAGGATCATTTTTGTTATGATCTGATTTCCCTAATTTGGAACATTAATTTGACTGAGCAAGTCTAGAACTGTGCCCTGGGAAAGCATCATATCGGCAACCATCACCACCTACCTGACCCTTAGTCAGGTTCTTCCAGTTCTTCAGAACCTAAGTAATTTTTCAGTCTATGAAATCAGCCAAAAGCGAAAGTCAGGGACGGAAGACGTGATTTGCCTTATTAGGGGATTCCATTGATATATCTAAAAACTGAGTGATTGTTGATCACTTTCCCCAAGCTCATCATTTACCTCAAAAAGAATTTTAATTAGTGTTTCCATACTGGCAAGAACCAAGTCAAAGGAGGTTATTTCCCTAGTTGGCTCTGTCACAAACTGTTTTAAAAAAAACAATCCTGGATCGTATCAAGAAGTCACCTGACTCTAAATTTCCTGTCACAATTGCTCCAGTCTATCTGTCTAAAGTGAAACTCCACATTAGCACAAAATTTTCGTATGTAGATTGCTTACGAATTTCGTCCCATAGAAGTTTATGCATCCTATCAAGATTTGGGGCCCTGTAATCACACCAAAATCGTTTTTCTCGGCCTCGAGAAGCTGTAACCAAACAGATCTCCAGTGGCTGACGCTTCTATTTAATATCTGTTAACACAACAATTTAAATTGTTCTGACATACCATGTACTCCACACTTTTCCTGTTGACCTGTCAGTGTGGAACTAATTTATAGCCTTGTATGTGTCATTCAGGAGGGCATTCTTATCTTTCAGATTGGAGCCAGGTCTCTGTTACAGAAGTACAGAAATATATATAGTGACTGAAATAAAGTTTCAGTTGTTATATACTTGTTAGTAAACCCTCCAATACACAAATATCATAACTTATCTTCATTCATTTACTTATGTTATTTTTATAAACCATCATAACTGTATATCATATAGTGTTCTTCTGTTTATCTTCATTTCTCTCTTCTTTTTGTGTGAATTGTTACATACTGAAAGTTTTTCTCTATTATTATTTGTGTTTCTTAATTCTTGGTACAAATAGAAGAATGTTTTGTACTTTATAATTTACCCTTTGACTGTCCAGGCGTATAGTATACGTTGGTGAGGTACCGTGTTTGACGTAGATTTACTCATAATTCTAGCTAGGCTTAATCAGGCAGGAGAAAGCTAGTAGGGCCCAAATGTGAGAGAATCGGGTCTGTGTGGTCAGTGTGCACCACATAAAAAAAATCCTGGTGCACGCAGTGCTTAATGAGAAAAAAAAACTCCTAGACCGTTTTTTTTAATTAAATTGCCGACTTTGTGGTCTATTTTAGATAGTATTTGTGGTTGTATTCTCGTTTTCTATGGTCTATTTGATAGAATGGAAACTAGATAATAGAAATGGAGGTTGATTTTGATTAACTTGTACTATAAAAAGAACTGGATATGGAGCACAAAATACAGGAATGTTGATTTTTGCCGACTGTTCAATAAGTAAACAAATGATGTCATTGTCAATAAATGTCCAAATAGCCATTCTAAATATGCAAGTCATGAATATGGGTTGATGTATTTTTTACAATTATTACAGTTTGCAGTAGGTATGCATAAAACAGTAATTCTTTATTTTGTTTGAATATACATTTTCAAAATTAAAAAAGCAAGAGTAATATCACAGGGACCTGGAGACAGATGATGAACAAAGAAAATTTAATTTTAGAGCCCAGGAATGTCTGCATTGTTCATTCTGGACCTTATTTGAAATTGTCGTCTTTTTTTTTTTTTTTTAATTTTTTCGTGAAATTGGCCAAATTGCAAATTTTGACCATGTTATTGGGTAGGTTGAAATCGGTAAATGGGGCAGTTTCTTGTGCTCAATCGTAGAAATAATAGAGTTCTGACGTAAGAAAGTTATGAGTTTTGGTTGCACTGGGAATACGGGAAATTAGCCGAACATAGGGGCTCATAAATGGGCGAAATTGCCGATTTTTAAATATCGCCGGAAGTGCTAACTTCGCTGACGAGCGTAATTCCGTCAGTTTTCCATCAAATTTCGTTTTTTTTGGTGTCTTTACACAATCGGGGAAAAGATTCTCTATACATTTCATAAGAAAAAAATAATTTTTTTTTTTTTCGAATATTTATGCGAACCAGGAGCAACTTCAGGATTGGTGGGCCTTCCGACATCGTCAAAGGGTTTTTTTTAAAACAGCTTGGTAATCATCCAAAACCCTTCAGTAAGGGATTTAAATAATGATTGTATCTTTTTTTCTTTTTCACTGTATATCATGGGCCAGAGAGAGCAATAATCCTCAATACTTTTACATAGTGCTCTAGTATTTTAAAGGGTATTTAATGCAATGAAATACTGGGCTTACCTCTTCCTCTTCTTCCTCTGGAAGACTTTTAGACACACTGGTCTTGGGTACACTGCCCATCCATGAATGACTATTACAAGGCACCTCCAATGATGATCTGTAATGTAGATCCTCAGCACCACATGGTAAGATTTACTCTACAGTGCACAGTGAGTAACATACAATTTCAATATGGTGAACTGTAGAGTACTCATTATCTAGACTAAGATATACTGTGCTGTGAAGGAATTTTCATGTCATTTAGTTACCTATTAATTATGATTCAAAATCTTATCAATTGATTTATAAATGAAGGATATAAATTATTTCTTGGGAATTATTTTACCTAGTTAGTGAAACTTTTATCTTAACAATACGCAACAATGATTTGTTATTAAACTGATAGTGTGCCAGACATAAACTAGGGAATACAATATTGTATTTTGACTCATGAAAGCATTTTTAGTTAATAACATTAAATAATAACTACATATTAGAAGCAAGTACAGTACAGGAATCTAAAAAAATAAGTGGCGAGTAGAGCCAGATACAAATTCCAAGGGATCAAGGAACATTCCTCCCAAAATTTAGCTTTATATTGCAAAACAGAGCAATTTCTCATATTCTATGATCTAAAATATGCTTTATCAAGGCTAATTACAGAATACACTTAGTAAATATATTAAAAATTAAATAAAAATATCACCACTGAGCTAAGATTGAATGAACAGAACTCAAAACTTTTTTTTAATGCCACTGATTAATTTTTGTATATCCAGGAAGCCAAGTTTATCTCTCATCATTTGTAAATGACATTAAGAAAAAGGCTGGGTAGAAAGGCAAATTTTCAGGGTGACCCAAAAAAGAAAGAAAATCCCCAAAAAGAAAATACTTTCATCATCATTCAACACTTTCACCACACTCACACATTATCACTGCTTTTGCAGAGGTGCTCAGAATACAACAGTCAGAAGCAATATACGTATAATGATACACAAATATCCCTCCAAACTGCCAATATCCAACCCTTCTTTAAAGTGCAGGCATTGGACTTCCCATTCAGGACTCAAGTCAGACTTTATGAATAACCGGTTTCCTGAAATCCTTCACTAAATATTACTGTCTCACACTCCAAAGATCGTCAGGTCCCAAGTATCATTTCGCCTACATTACTCCTATATAATACGCTCATGCAGCTTGTGGAAGTCCAAGCCCTAGTCCACAAAACCTCATTTACCCCATCTTTCCAACCTATTGAGGACCGACCCCTACCTCCTTCCTTCCCCTATAGATTTATATGCGTTCCAGTCATTCTATTTGATATTCTCTCTAAATGGACTACACCTTCAACAACCCCTCTTCTTCCTCTGACTAGCTTTTATTTAATCCACACCTTCGCCTAATTTCCACACTCGAATTTTCTGCATAATAGTACACCACACTCTTGCCCTTAGACAGGACATCTCCACTGCCTCCTACCACGTCTCCTCGCTGCAGCATTATACCACCCATAGCTTCCCATCCATATTAGCCAGTGTTGGTACTACTATTCTTTCATACAATTCCCTTCTTTGCCTCCATTAGATACGTTTTTTGACTCCAAATATACATCAACGCACCACCCCACTCACTTTTTTCCCTCATCACATTCACTACTGATTAACCTCATATACATCTTAAATCCATCCGCCGACAAATACCTGTTACATATTTAGTTTCCAGGCAGGGCCAGATTAAGAGAGAGTAAAACACAAGACACCAGCAATCCTACCATCATGTAAAAACAATTCCAAGTTTAAAATTTCACATTCAATTGGTAGAATGATAGTACCTCCTGACGTGGCTAGCTGTCTACCAACCTACTACCTACGGATTATGATTTTTTTTTTTGTTCAAATTAAACCGGCCGTATCCCCACCAAGGGCAGGGTGGCCAAAAAGAAGAAAAATTGAAAGTTTCTCTTTTTTAAATTTTGTAATTGATACAGGAGAAGGGGTTACTAGGCCTTGACTCCTGGCATTATAGTCGCCTCTTGCAACAGTATGGCTTTACAGGGATGAAGTCTATTCAACTTCCCCATGGAGATAAGAGGAAATAAAAAGAACAGAAGAAAACCTCAGAGGGTGTGTGTATGTATATATGCTTGTAATGCTATGTGTAGTGTGACCTAAGTGTTAAAGTAGAAGTAGCAAGACGTACCTGAAATCTTGATGTTTAGAGACAGAAAAAAGACACAAGGCAATCTACCATCAAGTAAATCATTAACAGGTTTAAATTTCACACTCATATGGGTAGAATGATTGTACCTCCATGGGTGGCAAAACTGTTCTACCAACCTTACATACCTAGGATTATGATTATTCTTTTTATTATTTTATTATAATAATTGAAAATTCATAAAATTTTTAATCCTAACAAAAAAAAAAACATGATTTCTGTTGTAAATTTTTAGTGCCAAATGCTGAAGTTGAAGTACATAAGCACAATGACATACCTCCTACTGTTCCTAGTTGGGACCTCCGGACATAGAGGGATGGCGTCCATGGCCTATGATCACCAGGTGGCAGAGTCTCCAATGGAACAGAAGTCCATTGTTGATCGGGTGATGGTGCGTGATTGACGGACGAATATGTGGCCGTAATAGGAGTCTGGTCGGCACTACCGGCAAGAGATATGGTGCTACTAAGATTAATACTATGAACATAAAGATTCCAATATGTTGCATAAGTGTCTCAAATTCTTCAACTTCAACTGTCGTTTTAAAACCATTCATCACATAATACTGTACGTACTGCTAAATGCTCTATCATCTTCAATACATTTGGTAGATGATCACATATGTATTATTAAATATACTTTTTAAATTTCTAACCCAAAAGTGGAAACTACATGTACTATACTTCAATCCTTTGAGATCCAATTTCCCTGGACTCACACGACGTCCCTTCACACCAACGTACTTCCAGGCCAACCCCCGCTGTGTTAGATAGTGAGCTAGTGCATAAAACCGATGTAATACTCTATGAGAAACAGGATAATGAACTTGCTGTTTTAGAAAATGGTTGGAATAAGGGAGCCAGAGACTAAGGGTCATACTAACATGGTGTAGCACCCCAGCCTTTAGCATTAAATCTCTCAATATTCATCAATGACTGACTGAGGACAGTGTGCAGAACTTGGGTGTAGCTCCCCTTGCTTTGTTTGATTTGATGATAATATTCTCCATCAGCAGTTCAGTTCCAATCTTCTCTCTAGGGCCTATTCTGCTTTGATGAGTCCGGCCTAGCCACAGTTAAGCAAAAAATAATTAAGAGAGCCAGTACCAATTTATATAATCTATTATATCTACTAAATTATGGTGTATCCAATTCAAAATGGGAATTTTGACACAGTAGTTACTTTTTGCGATGGATACTGTGCTTATGGGAGATTCTAAAGAAAAATTGCAAGGTAGTGGATGAGTTTGAGGATTGTGTGTAAAGGTAGAAGTTGGAAAGTGAACATTAGAAAAGATTTACGGTGATGTGGGTTATCAAATGATTTAGATAAAAGAAAAATTGGACTATCAAATTGGGGAGGATGAGTATGGAAGAAAGTGTTGTTTTCATATACTTTGGAGTTGACGTGTCGGCGGATGGATTATGAAGGATGAGGTTAATCATAGAATGATGAGGGGAAGAAAAAAGAGTTGTGGTGCGTTGAGGTATATTGGAGTCAAAAAACGGTTATCTATGGAGGCAAGAAGGGAATGTATGAAAAGTATTAGTGAGTACCCAACATCTATATGATTGTGATGCTTGGGTGGTACAATTGCAGCAGCGGGAGACGGTTGGAGGCAGTGGACGATGTCCTGTCTAAGGGCCATGTGTGGGTAATATTATGCAGAAAGAAAATTGGAGAGTGGATAATTAGGAGAGGTGTGGACGTTAATAAAAAGCATTGTCAGAGGGCAGAAGAGGGGTTGTTGAGGTGGTGGTCATTTAGAGAGAATGGATCAAAAGTAGTATTGACATGGAAAGCATATAAATCTCTTAGGGGAAGGAAAGAGGCGGATGGGTCGTCTCGGAAAGGGATGGAAGAGGGGTAAAGGCAGGTTTTCGTGGGCGAGGGGCTGGACTTCCAGGGCAAGCGTGCATGAGCATGTTTAGATAGGTAGTGAAGGAGACGAATGATACTTGGGAACATGACGATCTGTTGGAGTTGTGAGCCGGGCTGGTTAATATTTAGGTGAAGGGATTCAGGGGAAAACGGTGTTATTTTCTTCTAGTCGGACTTGAGTCCTGAAATGGGAAGTACAATGCCTGCACTTTAAGGAAGGGTTTGGGATATTGGCAGTTTGCGAGGAGATATGATTGTGTTATCTTTTACGTATATGCTTCTAAACTGTTGTATTTGTAACAACTCTGCAAAAGCAAGTGATAATGTGTGAAGTTGTGGTGAAAGTGTTGAAATGATGATGAAAGTATTTTCTTTTATGGGGATTTTCTTTCTTTTTTGGGTACCCTGCCTCGGTGGGAGACGACCACTTGTTGAAAAAAAAAAAAAAAAAAAAAAAAAAATGATTCTACTAATATAATATAGCTAATATATCTCTTCTCTCACAGTTTTATTTCTTTCTGAACGTTACATAATTATTCACAATTGATTAAGGAAACACAAAATTTGGAACGTGCAATTCATAACATGAAATAAGCAATTTATCCGTTTCATTTGTGTTAACTTTAACATAAATGAAACAAAAAAAAAAAAAAAGATTCACAATGTTTATGATTAATTTTTCACAAAGTTCTTACTTGAGCAATCCCCATTAGTGCCAATATTGGCACTTTACTCTGACACTGCCGAATCATTCCATCCATATACATTATCCAAATCACTAATTTTAGGTTTATGTTAAGTTTTCTCAGATATCCATACCCTTCTGGCTATCACTCTCAGCAAGATATTTCATAATTTGGTCCTTCTGTTTCTTTTACTTATACGTATGTACAACACATTTTAAGTGAAATATAATACAATACACCCAATTTTTACTTTTTACTTGAAATCATGGAATACAAAATATAAAATTTGGACAGTCATTAATGTGAGCAATGACACTGAATAATAAATCTAATTTACAAGAATACTCATACGCATTAAAATAAGTATTCTAATAGGTTATTGTTAGTCTCTAGTATCCAGAAAAATTTATGCTCCAGAATGGTCTAGTCGATGAATCTCCAAATATGTCGGACTTTTCTGTGTACAGTAATTGTAATAAAGATGTACAATACCCTTAAAGGCACTATAAATAATAGTGGCTCTCTACTCATCAGGTTAAATAATTTTTTAGTATGAAATGTATTTACCATGATACTGTGAAAAATCCTCTGTGTTTAGTTACGATATTAAAAATAACTGCTTTTAATGCCCTGATTTGTATACTGCTTCCTTTAATTGGAACCGTTCTATTTATAATAATCACAGGAGGGGAGACTTATTAGCTTTCTTCCTTGGTATTTCTTGTGTTCAGGGTAGGTCCTAATGGTAGCTCTGTAGATCTGCCTTGCTCCAGTACAAACAGACTGATGAAGCACGTGATTTTAAAAAGAAAAACTCACATCATCGGCACTAGCAGCCAACATTTCAATTGACACCATCTGCTGCAGACATTTAAAATTCACTTTATGTATCAATTATATGATCTGTGAAAATGACTTAGTAGTGTATGTAACTGATTAAAAGAAATTCTTATTTTTTTTTCTCATAACAGCTTTCTTTAAAATCCTTGTATGTACACCTACCAGTTGTTTCATACTATCCTTGCTTATACACTTTAGTGCATCTTCCACAAAAATATATATTTATATAAATTATTATTCTCTCTGTCTCATACTTCAGCTATTACTGCAAAAGGAGATAATATCTTACACTCACCTTGGTCATAGCATGTTACCAAGGCATTCTTCCTCATCATGTAAACACTTTATGCATTAATTTTCAATTTATTTTTGGTCTACAATTTTATATAAACCATTTAAATTATTTGTAAAACTAAAGATATCGTACAAGCCTCAAATTTTCTTCATGAAACAGAAAATTTATGAACATGAAAAACTGTAAAGCTGTGATGTTTTGTTGAAAATTTAACCACAATTTGTCATTGTTGTCCTGGATAGTTAACCATGCGGGGTTAAAAATCTGAACGAAATCTTACTTTATCTTTATTTAAACAAAAGAACCTTCCTGAACCCTTTCACTATCGCAACCTCAAAAATGAAAAGTACTGACAGTGTCACCATTTAAAAACAAATTATCTTTTCAAAATGTAGTGATTTTTTTTTTTTTCGCGACAATCGGCATGTGCAGAGAGAGATGAGGATGATGATTTTTTGATGCATGGGTACTAAAACTTACTTAGGAGACATTAACGCAGGCGCAAGCTGGTGATCTGGGTGCAATTTATGCAAAACCCAGTTTTTCCTATTTGGAGTCCTATTTTAAGCCAATTGCAATGCTTGATTCCACCCAGTTCCTAGCTAATTTGCTAGTATGCCTTCCATTCTATCAAACTACCCGTTCAGATACCGTGTGTACCTCGAGTTACGAATTTAATTCGTTCCAGAAGCGGGTTCAAGTGCCAATACGAATGATTTTCTTCCATAAGGAATTTGTAAATTAATTAGTCCGTTTTCAGACCCCCAAAAATACACTTACATAATTGTATCGAGGGTGGGAGCTGTTTGAAACTCCATGTCAACTGTATCAGATTACCTTTTACTGAGCACAGAATAGAATTCAGTAATTTAGCCGTTTTCAATAAGAAAAAATATTAACAAATTTTTTTAAAAATACAAAATTAAAAAAAATCCCAGTTTAAAAAAATTAACACTATAGGAATTCCAGCCACTTAATCAACCTTTTCTGTATTCATTAATCACTTCTCCTATACAGTGGAACCTCGGCTTACAAACGCCCCACCATGTAAACTTTTCAGGATATGAACAGCCATTCGGTTGATTTTTTTTTGCTTCTGGATATGGACGAAATTTCAGGATGCGAACTTCCCCCTCAAGGGAGGCTCCTTAAATAAATAAATAAATAAAATATTTATTTCTTTGCAAAGGTTATGATGTGTGTTTACTCCAAGAGCAAAGAAAGCCACTATCATGCCGAGGCATTTCGTGCAGACTTAACCTAATACAGTGGTAAGATAAGATTTCATTCAGATTTTTAACCCCGGAGGGTTAGCCATCCAGGATAACCCAAGAAAGTCAGTGCATCATCGAGGACTGTAACTTATTTCCATTGGGGAACTCAATCTTGTCCCCCAGGATGTGACCCACACCAGTTGACTAACACCCAGGTACCTATTTGCTGCTAGGTAAACAGGACAGGTGTAAGGAAATGTGTCGGAATGTTTCCACCTGCCGGGAATTGAACCTGGGCCCTCCGTGTGTGAAGCGGGAGCTTTAGCCACCAGGCCACCGGGTCACCAGCCACCGGGCCACCAGCCACCAGGCCACCGGTACCTTGGGATATGAACTTAATTCGTTCCAGAAGGC